CCTCCTCCTCTCCTCCTCCTCCTTTTCTCCTCCTTTTATCCTCCTTGTCTCCTCCTTTTCTCCTCCTCTTCTCCTCTTCTCCTCTTCTCCTCTTCTCCTCGTCCTCCTCTTTCTCCTCCTCCTCCTCGTCCTCCTCCTCCTGCTCTTCCTCCTCCTCCTCTCCTTATTCATAATTTCTCCGTGTCGCACCCCGAAGCCAGATTTTAGGGCGGGCCAGGCGTGTCGCCTGAGACTTCCTCACCATCTGTGACCCTGAAGCTTAAAAAGTGGCAACAGTTTCACACATGGAGGGCGGGTCGTTTTCAAAATGTGGCTCAGATTATAAGAAGTTTCACGGATTGAGGGCGGTTCCTTTTCAATTTGTCGTTCTCGCCTTAGCGCCGCGCACATACGTTTTAAACAATTGCAAGAGCTTCACGGATGAAGGGCGGGTGGTTTTCAAATTGTGGTTCTCGCCTTAGCGTCGCGTACATCCGTTCTCTTTAAAAATTAAGTTTCAAGGATTTAAGGCGGGTGGTTTTCAAAATGTGGTTCTCGCTTTAGCGCCGCGAACATTATTTTAAAACATTTGCAAGGGTGTCACGGGTGGCGGGCGGGTCGTTTTCAACGTGCGGCTCTCGCTTCAGCGCCGCGCAAATTCATTCCAAACATTGTGGCTCTCGCCTTAGCGCCGCGCACATTCGTCTTAAAGAGTTGCAAGAGTTTCGCGGGTTGAGGGCGTTTTTTTTTTCGACATGTCGTTCTCGCCTTAACGCCGCGCGCATTCATCTGAAACAGCTGCAAGAGCTGCACGTATTCCCATGATCAGTGTACCAGGAATGGCGTTTTTGACGGATTCAGGATGATGAGGGTGTAATCGTTACGTTGATTCGTGGTGCTGAAATCCCAGGAATGGTGTTCTGGCGCGATTCAAGATCCTCAAGACGCAACAGTCAGGTTGACAAGTGGCGTTGGAATCCCAAAAACAATGTCTTGGCATGCTTCGGGGTCTTCAAACGGTTGTCCTCCAACGAGCCAGTTCCCTCAATGGAAATGAACCGTTGTAGGGGCCGAATCAAAAGGAGCTTGGCGGGAACTTGCATTCCAACATCCATGGTGATTCTTGGGTTTACACTGGTCCTCCGCCTCTGCCTCCTCGTTATTTCCCGCCTCCTCCTGCTCCTCTTCGACCTCATGTTCCTCCTCCTCCTCCTTGACCTGCGTTTCGTCCGTTTCCTCCTCGTCCTGCTCCTCGACCTTCTCCTCCTCATCCTCGCCCTCGCCTCCTCCTCGTCGCCCTCGACATCCCCCCTATGTCCAGGCGGGTTCCGCATAGCAGAACTCCCCGACCTGCCACAACATCTTGGGCGATTGCGCTACCCGCGAGCACAAGAAGGAATACGTGAACTCGCAAACACTTACCCGACGGGCTGACGCCCAATCCAACAGCACCCCGTGTTTCTGGCTAAGGGGACTGACCCCCAGGAAATCAACCTGCCCAGAGCCCTGTGAGACCACTGAAGCCGACGCCTGCTCGCGGGGCGCCATCGGCAACGTCGCACTGACCGCCGACCGCTTCGACCCCGTAGTCACGCGCGGCGATGGCAGTGGTGGCCTAAGGTCTGGAGACGAAGATACATGCGATGTGGATGAGATTGGGTGCGACTCCGACTGGGCAGCTACAATGAATGCCGCATCTCCGCTGCCAGGAGAGGGCCACTCCCAGGGCCGCGACAGAGTAACACTCGAGCTGAACTGCGGGCCTGCCTCACCAATAGAATCCATGGTTCAGGCGACCTGCACCATCGGGCGGACCCGGCAGCTCCTGCAGCTTGGGGAAGGAATGGCAGACACAGGAAAGGAGCCAGTGGCGGCCCAAATGCAGATATCTGGAGACAGATCGGCGAAGCCATTCGCGACAGAACAAGGGAGATCAGCACCTTCTAGATAGAGAGCCACCTTCCACTCGAGGAGGCGCTGCAGCTAGGCCACTCCAAGCACGCCTGGGCGGGCAACAAGATCGCGGACGAGCTCGCGGGCCGCAGCAGACCACGCCATCAGCGACAGCCAGCTGGACAGCTACGACTGGATACGTGCTTCAGCAGTGAAGGTTCGCGACCGAATTTGCCAGACCATCAGGGCACCCGTCGAGCCGAGGCCGCCAGTCCCACCTTCGAGACGCCAACTTCGCGATGCTGGACGTGTTGATGCTCGCGCTGACGGACCGCGGCCTGTACGCGACCTGGTCGCTGAGAGCAGCCACGGCATCTCCATGGGCGCCGCGCTGGAACTTTGGGAATGCAAGCGCTGCGTGCAGTCTGAAACAAAGACTGGGCCCGAATACATCGCGCGACAACTGCTGTCGACGCGGCGCGGGAGGTCGACGCTCTCAAGTCGCCCCACGGCGGGGCGTCTTGATTGGCAGTGTGTATACACACCCGTCGCACCAGATGAGCTTCAACATTAAGGAGTACCGCTGGTTCTATGTACTATGCGCGGGACGCGTTAGCCCTGGACAGCGAGGTTTCTTGGGAAGTTACTTCGCGACAGACTGCTCGCCATCGACACCATCAGCAATGCACATATTGGGCAAGCTCATGAAGGGCATCACCTGGAACAGCATCTCGCTGCACTAAGCAACCCCTAAGTGCAACAACATTTGTCTGCAGGCAGGCAGGGTTGAGCGACAACCCTGAGACTACCTTTGTAATGCAAACTATCTGGAGTTTCAACGGCTGCCACGATCTATTCCTGGTAGTGCTTGAGGTTTTTGTATCGCAGTACTCATACTCAGGTACTGCCCTTGCGTCCGACGTGTTGCATGAGGTGCCTGGCTGATGATATCAATGATGCCTGGGTGGCGTTGGATGTACATCGAGGACGTCGTTACTTACTGTGCCGCGCTTTGACCTGGAATGCCTTTCTTAACATAGGTCATGTCCCTACACCTGTTCGAAAGGGAGCTAAGGGGGACCTTAACAGCTTGGCGTCGCCGTCCATGCTCTTCGACTCTGTGACGACGGTGCAAATCTGCTACTTGACGGGGGTAGCCTCCTCCCACAGCCTTTGCCTGGCCTGGGCTTGGGACCGCCCTGCCTGCTGATGTGGCGGACCACGCTTTGGCTGTCGAGGTGCTCGAGATCGGCGGCCACCCCGTACACCGATTCGGCCGCCGACTGGGACCTCCAGGTCCGAGACTGCCCGCGGGCCGCGCGCAGGAGGCCCCGCCGCGGCGCCGCGGGCGAAGCGACAGCGTCGCGCAACGCGTCCCACGTCCTCCTCCTCCTCCGTTTCCTCGTCCTCCGCCGCCTCCTCCTCCTCCTCCTCCTCCTCCGGCGGCTGGGCGCAGTCCTTCTTCAACGTAGAAGGGTGCCAGCGCAAAGGAAAGAAACGGGTCTTACGCTGACGAACGAACAACACACACCCACACCCATAAGGGCGGTCGTTGGGAGGAGGACTCACTATGGGTATGGGTGCGGATTGTCGGACCCTGGGGAACGCTCCCGTTCGAGCGGGGACCCCCATCCGACAACACGTACCCATAGCCCTCTCCGACCCCCCTATGGGTATGGGTGTGCGTCGTTGGTTCGTCATACGCGAAATGGCATAGCGATTTTCATAATTTAAGCGGTGGCTCGCGCGGGCCGCCAGCGCGGCACGCCACGTTGGAGGCGAGGGTGCGTGCGCGCGACCTTACGCGCGCAGCTGACGCGCCAACGTCGGCGCAATCGAACCTGTGTTTGCGCGTCGCTCATTCAAACTGGGAGGGGCGCGGCTGCCGGGGCCTATACCTATACCTGGCGCGAACTCGGGAATTCGGCCGGGCACGCAAAAACGACGAAGTTGGCCTCCATGCGCCCGCCGTCGGCGAGCGCAGCCCGCCGGCGCCACTTCCAGCGGCGGCGCCGCCGCCGCTGCGCGCCCGACTCCCGCCTCTCCTCTCCAGAGCCGCCAGCCTCCGCCGCGGCCGCCTGGCGCCCCAGCGAGTCTCTGCCGACGTCGCCCCGCGGCCTCCCGCGCCTCGCGCCGCCACCCGCGCTTAGCGCCCGCCCGCGCGCACACTCAGCGCAGCCCGACAGCTCGCCGGACTTGCTGCGCCAGCCCGCGCTGCAGGACGCAGCTCGCGAACCCGGCAGGCCCTCGCCAGCATTCCTCGGGCTGCGCGTCCTCCGAGGCAGCCCCGGGTCTCGACGGCAAACGCCGTTACCCGCTCGCCGAAGTAGCGCGCGTGCTTGCCGCGCGCTCGGCCCGCCGGGAACACGGCGGGCTCTCGTCGCCCGCCGTTCGGTGGCAGACGGTAGCTTCCAACCACCGCCTGCCGTCGGCGTCGTCACACTAGGCACCCAAGGTGGCGCGTTCCTGAACCGTCCGCTGTCCTGGATGCGGCGCGCGGGCCCTGTCCCAGGTGGGCATCCGCTGCTCGCAGCGCGGCGCGCAGTGGTCCCACCTTCCAGCGAGGCTGCCTGCGGCGCGCGCGGCTACGCCGTGCCGCTTGACGACGCCTCCGCCAGGCTGGAAGATGGCAGCCCGAAGCCCATCCAGCGGCGCCCGACATGGCACGCCGCCCGCTGTCAGGTTCTGGCAGGTCGCCGCAGCTTTCTCCAACTCGTCGGTGGCGCACTCGGGCATCGGGGGATGGACGCGGCTCCTGGTCGTCGTCTGCCAGTGGGAGTCCTCCAGCGTGCACGCCAGCTCACCCTCCTCATCCTCCTCCTCCAGCTCCTCCTCCTCCTCCTCTTCCTCCTCCTTCTCTCGGGGAACCAGAAGGTACCGATACCGCTACTCCCCAGACCTCTCCCGGGGTGCATTCTGACTCGAATTTAAAGGCGAATCCATCGGTGGCAACGAGGGCCTCCCAGGAGACCCAAAAAGGAGAAAACAAGGTAAGGGCAGCGGCACGGGTGCCTTTTCCTTCTCTGAATATCCCCCTCCCCTTTCTCCTCCTCCTCCTCCTCATGGGTGCCACCTGTCTCCCTCGCGGGGAGACAGGGGCAAGCTGCCGCCCAGGCTGAGCCCGCCGCGCAGCCCTTCTGCAGCTCGGCGAGGTACTTCTTGTCCTGCGCCGCCCGGGGATCGGTGGCGCGGACGCTTGGAGGCCGCGCGCACCAAAAAACAACACAATCCTCGATTTTAGGAGGCAACTACTGGGAAATTTTCGTCGGAAAGATGAAAGAGGATTAAACCCCATTTGGAAGCTGCTACGCCGGAGTGGGCCTCGGACTAAGCAGGATTAAACGAGATTAAGCGGAATTAAGCGGGATTAAGCCGGATTAAGCGGGATCATGCTGGATTAAGCCGAATTTCGGACCAGGGCGAAAAGAGAATTTGACCTCCCAGGAGATGCATCCGAATCGATTGAGACGAACCCAGGACGAGGATAACTCCGGGTGAGGATACATCGAAGATCTCTGAGATGTATCGGGCGCCGCGGCCTTCTCAGAACGTCCCGGAACGCTGTCAGAGCGTTCCGGAACGGGTTTCTCCTCGTCCTAGCCCCGTCCTATCGATCCTCGTCCTCGAAATCCTGTCCTGGAGGTGGTTCCTCGCTCATGCGAGTTCTCGGTCCTGGAGCCTGGACGTTTCGATCCTCGATCGTTGAAGTCCTTGTAGCCCGACAGGGCCAGCGGCCCAGAAGCGTGGAGGGCGCGCACGAATACACAACAAACAAGTATGCTGCTTCGGGCAATCTCCAATCATGAGTATCTGCATATCCGAAGAACCTGTCGAAATCGAATTGAGCGACGTTTACCCGAGTTTCGGATCCCCCGAAGCCGTCCAGTTGGGCCAGGTGAGGGCGGTCTTATTTGCATGTGGGCGAAACCACTGGGCCCTTTGGTAAAACTCCCTATGGGGTCACGAAACGTGGGAGAGTTGTACCGAAATGGGCGCGGGACGCATGTGGACGCAGCCACTGGGGCCTTCGGAGGAGCTCCCTAGGGGCCCACGAACCGTATAAAGGATGTGCCGAAATGGGCGCGGGACGCAGGTGAACGCAGCCACTTGGGCCTTCGGTGACGCTCCCTATGGGACCACGAACCGTATGAAGGGTGTGCCGAAATGGGCGCGGGATGCATGTGGACGCAGCCACTGGGGATTTCGATGGAGCTCTCTATGGGGACACGAAGCGTGCGAAGGGGTGCCGAATTGGGCGCGGGACGCATGTGGACGCAGCCACTGGGCCCTTCGGTGGAGTTCCCTGAGGGGGCCACGAAACGTGGGATGGTTGTACCGAAATGGGCGCGGGACGCAGATGGACGCAGCCACTGGGGCCTTCGGTGGAGCTCCCTGAGGGGGCCACGAAGCGTGTGCGGGGTGTGGCGGCATGGGCGCGGGATGCATGAGGACGCAACCGCCGGGGCCTTCGGTGGAAATCCCAATGGGGCCACGAAACGTGTGAGGGGAGTGCAGAAGCTGATGGCGATGATGGTGAAGATGACGGCCATGATGATGAATATGAAAATGAAGATGAAGACGAAAATGGAGATTCCGATACGGATGATGATGATGACGATTATGATGATGCTGATAATGGTGATGATGACGTTCGTGATGAAGCTGAGCATGATGCTGATGATGGTGATGGTGATGATGCCATTGATGATGGTGATGAGGATGATGATGATGATGATGATGATGATAATGATGGTGATGCGAATGATGATGTCGATGTTGACGATGATGATGGGAATGATGTTGGTGGTGATGATGGTGATGGTGACGATGACAAAAGTGATGTATTGAAGATGGTGGTGGTGCTGATCATGTTGGTGATGCTGGTAATAATACTGATGGCGATGATGCTGCCAATGGTGATGATGATGCTGCTGATGATGATGAGGGTGATGATGATTTCATGACCTGCTAACCTCACGGTACGGCCTGTTTCGTAAATTTTCATATGGAAATAGGAAGATACATTCGAAGCCTTGGACAGCATCAGGATAGATGCTAAAGCCAGCATTCACGCACACGCGACTAAGAAGCGAAGAAAAATTCACGCTGTACGACGATGCTGTAGAGAGCTTCCACCACTTGCACCAGGCCCTGGAACTCTCCGGGAGTGACGGTGCCGTCACCCCAGAAAATCGAGCCCTCGGCAACGTTGTGGAAGATCGGCTGGCCAGACTGATCACAGAAGCGAACGACCCCTATGTGCCAGCCGCTGGAGGCCAGGCCCGACTTGGAGCCCCCATCGAATTGGGCGGACACGAATTTGGCCTCCTGGAGAGGAAAAGGAGGAGGCGAATAAAACGCATGAGACCGTCAACTCCCTAGAGCCTCAGAAGCGAAAGCGTCAGTTCGTTTGTTGAATTCCCTGAAGACATGCCTACACCAGTGACCAGTCCTTTCCCTGGGGGCCGAGAGGCCACGGGACCACAGTTTTTCGAGCCGAGTCTGAGCCGCGGCAACGAAGGGGGCATAGAAGCCATCATGCATACTCCAGCAGCCATTAAGCCACTGAACGATTAGCCTCGGGTCTCCTAAGATCTCTAGCCAACGCGAAGTACTGTTCAACGCCAGAGGAGAGGAGGAGAGAGGCGGCTCAGGCGACGCATCCCAAGACGCGCGAGGTAGATCGACTTTGCGGCGCTTGACCTCGCCCATCGGAGAGCCCAGACCCGTGGGAGAGGAACGGGGCTTGATCTCTGACTTTGCTCGATCAGGAACGGCAAGGCCGATCCATTCGCACGCGTGCTTCGCAAAGAGCCAGGACTTCGGGGTCGAGAAGAACGAGAGGTCGCCGATGGATGGAACCCACAGGCCCTCAAGAACATTCAGAAATGCTTCAGCCCACTGGCGTGCACGAGTATAGCGAGGCTCATGTGTCCACTTTACGCTTGTTACGTGCATCTGAACCTGCTCAACTTGAGAGCACCTGCTGCATTGTTCTCCACTCCGCCGTACCTCTCCAGCACACAACATCTCGAAGAAACTCATGCGCTCGGGATGGGGGCGCCGTGGCATTGATGCGCCGAGGCACCGTTCTGGACATCAGCGAAAACGAAGCGCGAAGGACACGAACGCCCGGCGGGAGAAAACCCGCAGCAGCATATAATCTTTGGCAACACGAGCTGCACGTCTGCAATAGGTCACGGGGTCTTCTTGGGGACGACGTTGGAGACGAGCAATTCTCCGCAAGCGCTAGCCTTCCCAGCGATCCAATCTCAGAGCTAAGCCATGGCTCCAGACCCAGGAACCACAGCCGCGACAAGCAACAGGCACCACCCTCTTCGCATATCGATCGAAACTGACATCCAACGGTACAGAGGTAGCTAGATAGAACTTGGCGTCCTTCCAGAACGCCTGGGAGGCCTTCTGCAACCGGTGGCCCGCTGCATCAGTAGTGTTGCCGTCGGGAGTCTGCCAAACGCTCGGGACCTCGAAGCCCTCTGAGCCCGCGGAGAAGACCCAGGAGGTGGAGTCCACGTCGAACGTGGGCGAGTCGCACATGGGGAAGATCGCGTCGTTGGTGAAGAGCTCGAGAGACTCTTGCTTCCAAGACAAACCATAACTCAGCCTAATAGAGGCGAGATCAACAAAGAGGCGGCGGACCATAGCCAAAGAACCTGCAATCAGTAAGAAGTCATCCGCCCATGCCAGATGGTTGTAGAGCTTGTCTGAAATAGTAATACCAATGCCGTCCTGAGTCCAAGCATCCAGCACGCGAGATAGGGGTAGACACGCGATCAGATTCCACAGAAACGGTGTCTCCACGCCGCCCTGCTTGCCGCTTTTATTGAAGGGTATAGCCCCTTGCGTCTTGATGCCCTGGAAAACAGGCTCCACCACGGTGAAGAGCTGCTCCCTCGAGATGGCCGCCATGAGCTGTGGATGAAGGCGACGGTGTCGCATGGCATCAATCATGAGGTCGAACGCGATCTTGTCGATAGCCCCCTGCACGTCCCCTTTCGCGGCATGCAGCGGGCACTGGAGGCGCCACTCACGCGAGCGGGCGCATGGCAGTTGAAATCCACCAGCCATCATATCCACTGAGAGTTTCTCTTCATCGCCAAAGATGCCCGCGCCAGCCCCTGAACGAGGAGGAGGTGTAAGACGCGCTAGTATCACAAGGCACGATGTGCACCATTCCTTGAGCATGTCCAGCAGACTGATACCACGGAAATGAGCCAGGGAAATGGGCGACGGAACCTTCTTAATAAAGAACATAACGATTGTGCTCCACGACTCGATGCTCTGAACGACCAACCCCGAGTAGCGTTCGCTAGATGACCCATTACGTTACAGACCGAGATAGGCAACAGAGCGATCGTCTCCCCGACGATTTTCGATTTGCCTCCTGGAGCTTTGCCTGCGTTCATTTTTGCACGGGCCCTTCAGACGATGTCGATCGAGAGCTTCGGCGACGAATTGATGCTAACGGATGTTCTGTTTTTAAATATGTATCGTTCGGGTCGGTGTATTTGTCTGCGCAGCGCCGATGGGCCCCCCCCCCCCCCCAATTCTGCATGATCTTTTGAGGGCGCCCCAGCGCACTCCAGAGTAGAGATCTTGGCAAACGCGTCAGACTGACGGCTGGCCTTGAGCGCTCTCCACCTCTTGCGAAGAAGCCGCTCGCGACGACGGCGCCGTCTCCTAGCTGAACCTGGATAGCGCCTCTTTCGACTGCAGCCCGGCCAGTCGTAGATCCTGACGTTTAGCCGGAAGGACCCTGGACCTCGAAGACTTGGTGGAAAACTTGGTGGCCATGGGGGCAGTCTCGATGCACCTTGAAACTTTCTCCAGGGAAGACTCCAGCGCGCCAGGAACACAAAACCCATTGCGACACAAACTCGTCGAAACCTGGCCCAGGAAGAGCGCGGAGTCATCCTCGGAGGTAGGCTTCCAGCCAGTCGAGCAACGTTGAAACTCAGCCTTGCTAATAATGACTTCACCAAGCACTCCCAAGGACACGTAGACAGGATAGTGATCACTGTTGGCCCACTTAGTTTCGTTTCGGACCCAGATCCGATGAGAAAGCGCACTGGGAACCAAAGCAAAGTCGATCCGAGTACACCTCTGCCCCCCCCCCCCCCGGGGGCGTCGAGTAAACCAATCATTCTGAGAGAGCGCGGCGTTGGCCATCAGCAGATGAAAACGTTCTAAAACACTGAGGAGTAGGGGCCGACGTTGCACATGTTGGTCCACTCTGCCGCGCCAGTCTACTGCTGGCTCCGCATTGGCATCCAGGCCCGCCGCTAGAAAGCGAGCACCGCTGGCCTTCAGCTTCGCGAGGGCAGCGACCCATGAGACTACCGTGCGCTCAAATTCTGCAAGGCTGGCATCTTCGGAGGCGCAGGGGGCTAGCAGGAGACGAAACCCCAGGGGCCCAAGCGTGCCCGAGAGATCCTGTCGGAGCACTCCCAATCAGAGACTTCATGTTCGAGAGAGGAGGGAATAGAAATCGCAGTGCGGCGACCGCTGCCGTGGAAGATAACGCAGCCAGGCAACTCGATATCAGCTTGCACCCGCTCAACCTCTTGAAAGAAACCAATGCGTTGAGCCAACTTTAGATCCGCACCAAGCTCGGCAAAGGTATTGGAAGTCCCCTTGTTGAAATTCCAGGTGGCAGCCCTCAGTGAACTCCGGGCCGAGGAGAACGTCCTTCTCGAGGATGCAGATCGGGTAGATCAGCGGCAGGCCTCGACCATCATCGGCGGCGCGAGCGAGTCCTTGACCTCATTGAGCACCTCCGCATAGACCTGCCAACCCTTCGCAGGAGACCACTGCGCGAGCGCCTGGACCCCCCCATCTTCAGCCTGACGACCAGCGGCGCCTTGCCCCACAAGATCTGGAACTGGTCTTTCCGCGAGCCCTGCTCCAAGAGAAAGCACGTGGCCTTCCCTCCCGCAATGTGGAACTGCCTGCGGTCGGGCGCCACTTCAACTCCGGGGAAGACGCGCTTGCCCTCGAGCATGTGTAGGCGGCCCTCATCGAACATCTTCATGAGCGAAGTGCGGAGGCCCCAAGCGCCGTTGTTGCGCTCATCCCTCGCAGCCTCACATAGTACCAACAAAAGTTTAGCATTCAGCTCCTGTCGCTAAGCCTTCTGAATAGAAATTTCCCAATCCACTTTGTCCGATTCTTTCTGCTCTAAGCCCTCCTTCAAGCTCACGAGGTAGGCCTTGGCCTCGGGGCCGAGGAGACATGAACGATCTGTGGGCCTCCCGAAGTCGTCGAACTCGCTGAAGCCTTTGATCTTGACAAAACTAGCTTTGAAGGGGCCCACCGCCGAATTGCCGTTGACGAGCGAGCCTCCTCCCATACTACCAAGAACTGTCGACGCAGTATCCAGCTTGGCGGCCGAGAGCGCTTCCCTCGCCACCCTCAACGCTTCCGGTACATCCTTCCGTGCAGCTGCCGCTTCCGTCTTGGCCTCGGCGGCGACCTGCTTAGCCTCGCGAACTTCTTTCTGAACAATTCGCACACAGCGGTGGGTATTTGAACACAACTTGAACAGGTCCTGCAGAGACGGGTTGTCGGTCCCCCCTTCCATGTCCGATCCCTCCAGCAACTCAGACCGCTCCGGCCCACTGGGAACAGAAGCGGCCCTCTTCGCCATCCTGCGAGAACTGTCTGAGACAACGAGGGTGTAAAAAGGGTATGAGAAACTTCGGCCGAGCCGCAAACCCTCGGATGAGGGCTGCACACACCACACGCCTCAGGGACACCCTCGAGCCCGAATGGCTTGAGCCGTAATGATGATGATGATGCTGATGGTGATGATAATGATGATGGTGATGATGCTGATGACGATGATGATGATGCTAATGTTGATGATGCGGGCGACGATGATGACGATGATGCTGATGGTGACGATGGTAATGATGTCGACGATGAGAGGAGGGATGAGGAGGAAAGATAATGAAGAGCGCGGGACGCTGTCTCTTCAAAACGAAGACCCAACACCACAATATGGTTGGGAATAAATTTTCGAATGCGAACTAATGGCACTCGGGATCTGGAGGGGAGGGGGAGGGGCACGCATTGCCTTTAAAACACGTGTTGGACATCAGACAAATGACCTTTCTATGACCTGGAAAGAGAAACTTACAACCTATGGAGGGGCCGTGGGGGGAAACCGAGAACGTCCCCAGGCGGCGCGCACACGGTTAGCGGGGGGGAAGGCTTCTTAGAGGGAAGTTGCCTCTTTGAAGACAGCGGCCTTACATCTACTTACAACTAAGGCCCGCGCCTTCTAGCGTCTAAGAAGCCTTTCCCCCCCGTTCCCCTACCCCCCCTCTGTGCGCGGTGGAGTCCCAGGACGGTCTGAGAGAACCTCGGACAACAAGGTCCAGTCTCACTCGAAGATACCTCTGCGAACTGCGACGGGCTCTGCCCTGCGAGGCCCTCGCGCGGAGTGTGAGCCCCGTGCCTTCAAACCCCAACATTCCGACCCTACACACATTCGTAGACTTGGCAGATTTTTGAAATCCCACAGACCTCCTCACGGGGGGCAAACCTTCACGAGATCGGCCGTGACCCCAACCCTCTCGTAGCTGGGGCGAAACCCTTTGCCCAATCTCGTCAAAACAGATCTGAGCATTTTCTTAGGGTGGAGGGCTCAGGGTGGAATTTATATAAGCGTTTGCACCTCGAAAATCTATATGGCGCTAGGCCCCAGGGATGTTCCCAGCACGGCCTCGCCTCCTCCTCCTCCTCCTCCTCCTCCTCCTCCTGCTCCTCCTCCTCCTCCTCCTCCTTGTCGCCATTCATCCTCCTCATCCTCCTCGCCCCTCATCCTCCCCCTCCTCCTTCTCATGATTCCCCACATGCTTCGTGGGGTTCTGGTTTGCTTCCCTGCCGCGTCGCGCCCGCGTCTCACCTCACACCTCCCCTCCTCCTCGCAGCACTGCTCAACACAGCTTGGTCTCTCACCGCGGCGCCTATGCGTGCCAGGGTCGGAGAGCGCGGCAGGCGTGGCACCTTCTCGACACCAGGGGGGGTGCGCAGGGGGTGGTCTCTCACCGCGGCGCCTATGCGTGCCAGGGTCGGCGAGCGTGGCAGGCGTGGCACTTTCTCGACACCAGAGAGGGTGCGCAGGGGGTGGTCTCTCACCGCGGCGTCTATGCGTGCCACGGTCGGAAAGCGTGGCAGGCGTGGCACTTTCTCGACACCAAAGAGGGTGCGCAGGGGGTGGTCTCTCAACGCGGCGCCTATGCGTGCCAGGGTCGGAGAGCGTGGCAGGCGTGGCACTTTCTCGACACCAGGAGGGTGCGCAGGGGGTGGTCTCTCACCGCGGCGTCTATGCGTGCCAGGGTCGGAGAGCGTGGCAGGCGTGGCACTTTCTCGACACCAGAGGGGGTGCGCAGGGGGTGGTCTCTCACCGCGGCGTCTATGCGTGCCAGGGTCGGAGAGCGTGGCAGGCGTGGCACTTTCTCGACACCAGAGAGGGGTGCGCAGGGGGTGGTCTCTCACCGCGGCGTCTATGCGTGCCAGGGTCGGAGAGCGTGGCAGGCGTGGCACCTTCTCGACACCAGGGGGGGGTGCGCAGGGGGTGGTCTCTCACCGCGGCGTCTATGCGTGCCAGGGTCGGAGAGCGTGGCAGGCGTGGCACCTTCTCGAGGGTCACGCATTGCAGGCGTGGCATTTTCTCAACACCAGAGGGGGTGCGCAGGGGGTGGTCTCCCTATGCGTGCCAGGGTCGTCCAGGCATAGCCTCTATTGCGGGATTGCGTATTACCTCTCGTATCCAAGTGCCAGGCGACGCCGGATATGACCGTCACAGATGACTCCTTTCAACGACCACAGGGGGCACCTGAGAGCATGACGGCGGTGGTAGTGGTAGCGCGGTTCACACAAGACATAAAATCAGTATGTGGGGTTCCTCGGTTTTCCTCCTCCTCGCCACTCCTCCTCCTCCTCCTCCACCTCCTCCTCCTCCTCTTCCTCCTCCTCCTCTTCCTCCTCCTCCTCCGCCTTCTCCGCCTCCTCACTCCTCACTCCCCACGTCTCCTCATCCTGGGTCGTTTCCTGAACGTCCCTGGGTCCTGGGGAGGGCGGGGAAAGCCCGCAAACGGCGAAACAGATCCATGACCCGTTCCCTTCATTCGGGGCCAGACTTTCCCCAAGACAGCCAAAGGAAAACGTCCATGACATCGGACTTCGTGAGCGAACTTTCATCACTGCTAGTATTCAGCTGGAACCTTGGATCCCATCTTTCTGCTCCATTACTTTTGATACGGATGGAGCCTTGAGGATCCCAGGGCGAGGAACAAAAACGACACATCGCCAGATGCGAATAAAACATGCGGCGCCATGGCATCATGGCAGGCAGGACGGCCCTTGGATAGTGGTCTCGACGAGGCCGATATCGTGGCCGCTCTGCAATCACTGCTAGACAAGGGGCCACTGCTCGGGCGCCTCTCAAGAGTGCTCCGCTCGGGGACCCGAGGCGCCGTCCTCGGCGAGGGTGTCTTTCGTCTCCTCGAGATCGTTGCTGTCGTCCGCGACCAGCACGTTGAGCTCGCCTTTGCCGGCGCGCAGAAGTAGACACATCAACGATGCAGGACGGCGAATCTCACAGATACCTGGGGCACAGTAATAGTGAGCGTTTTCTTATTCGACGTTTCAACATTGGGCGGAAGGGGGGGAGGGGGGGGGTCTGGCTCCGGACCTCTGCGTAGTGCGACTGTTTGCAGCAGTGCGTTCCATGGGAAACTCGACCTGCATGAAAAAACAGGCGCCAAAAGCAGCCCAAATCTGCTCCATGGGGGGGAGGGCGGGGTACGAGGACCCGCACCGATCGGCAAAACAATGTATGAAAAACGAGTACAGAGCAGTGTTATGCGTTTTCTACTGTCTCGAGGTGCTCCTCGAGCAGTTCTGGGCTCATCGCCAGCCTGCCCTCGTGCGCTCCTCCGTTCCCTCGCAGCCTTCTTTGGGGCCACGTGATCCCCCTGCAGGATCGGCGGAAGCGGTCGCATGGCCTCTCCAATACGAAGCAACAATCTATAAAACAAAATGGCTGCCGCACGGAATGGTTCTGAGAAGGACTGTCAAATAACCCCACTGACGACAACCACGCCCACGAGCACGCATGGAGCCCAGGCAATTCATCATCACCGGGGGCGCTGCTGCGTGACGTGACGCCCGCCCCCCCCCCCCCAGGCATGCTCAATCATCGTCTTACACTGGCGGCGCGCCGGGGGGGGAAGCCTTCCTAGAAGGAGGCTGCTTCTGAAAAGGCACTGGCCATATATTTTCAGATACGACCCGCGCCCTCTAAGAAGCAGGGGTGCTTCGAAGAAGTCTTCCCCCCCTCCACTCCCTACCCCCCTCCGCGCGTGGCCGACGCACAGCCCTGTGCACGTGCAACGATGTGGCGCACTGATGCCAGGATCGGTGCGGGCGCTGTTTTGGGGCCTGGCCAAGGGGGCCTGCGCGCCGATCCTGCGACCGGGACGGGCCTGGCCAACTTGGGCGCACGTGCATAGCTCTCGCGGCCCGAAGCCTGGGTAAAGGATTCTGCTGGACCCAGCCGGACAAGGGTCATGGTAGGACTTCGCTGGTGAAATATGCGAACGGGCTGCTGGAGTGCTCGCGCTCGCACGCACATGTGTTGGAGCGCACTCGCTCGACAGCAAACTGAAAAGCTGGAGCGCAAGCCGTGGAATGTTGACACGCTCGCGCTCGATGCAGATTATGCGTTGGAGCGCACCCCGTGTTCGCGGGATGAGCTGCTGGAACTCCCTCGTCTGGAAAATATTAGGCGACGGCGCAACATCCAGTTCAGGGCTTTCAATGCATAAGGACGGGTGGCCGAGGGGAAGGGAAGGGCCCGGGCGTTACAATTGCGTTCGCGCCTCTTTCTGAAACTGCGGATTTGATTAACTACCAGACCACCCCAACCTAACCCAAAAACCCGAATTTCGGGTTGGGGGGTATACGGGTTACACATGTGTTGTTTCCGATGTCTCCCGGCCCCCACACTGGAAATCAAGGGTAGATTCGCGCCTTCGGGTTGGGTTGAGGTGGTTTGGTGGGTGATGAGCATTTGACTCTCGTCGAGTGGGTAGGCGCGGGTGCGCGTGCTTGCCCGTGCCAGTGTTTCGACGCGAATGCGCGCGTGAAGGCATGACAGCCCGCAGGCATACGTGCGCGCGCGTGAACTGCCCACAAGCAGCCATATTTCTCAGACCGTAGGTTAAGACCCAAGGAACAAGTCTCCTCCTGGGGATTCAACCTGCAAGGGGCAGGGCGAGAGGGGGCGTCTTTCTCGGGAGGCATGGGGCACCCCACCCGCCCCTTTCGGTGCTCCCGTTGTTTCCAACCCTCCTGAGTGTTGGGTTCCCGTTTTGAACAGACCACCATGGTCTCCACCTCCCCTCTCTCCTCCCGCCTCCTCCTGCCTCCTGCTGTGCTGCTCTCCGGGTGCCTGTCCTCTGCGCAACTGTTCCCACTCTCGAGGCACGGCGGAGGTGAGGGCAGCGCAGATCCCTTTGAGACCTCGCGGCTCCCTCGGGGGCTGCGAACTGGCCAGCTGTCGCCACTTTCATGGGAGGCATGGCGGAGGTGCGGCTCTTCAGATGTAGTGCGTTTTATTACAACGATCATATTAGTAGCCGCCTCGCGCGTGGAAAAATTGGGTACATCTCGGGTAATTTGGCGCGTGGCCAAACGGACTTCTCTACCGCGCACCCCAGGGCCATGCCGCTATCCCGATTAATTCCAAACCACCCTGTGGTGTGGAGTCCTCGTTTTGACGAGACAATCCCCGCGTCTGCTCTTCTCTCCGCTTCTCCTCCCACTCCTCCCCCTCCTTACTTCTGCTCGTCAAGGCGCATGTTGACCCTGATGAGGCCAACCTCACGGCCCAGGAACGGTTTCGTAGGATAGGGAACTCTCATGTGGACATCAGGGCCAAGCATGGGCTGCAACTTCACCCATCGGCCCCTGGAGACATGCCAGACTTAGATAGCATCCTTGGGTCGGCCAGAACTTACTGCATTCTTGCGGCGAATTCGCTGCCACTCTGGCCGAAACGTTCACTCGACGTAGCATACGCTCCTCCTGGTATTCCCGCTTATGATTCGCCCCCCCCCCCCACACCTCCCCGATCCCACACAGGTGGGAGCTGTGGTCTGGCATCTTAAGATGTGCTGTGTGCTGTAAGGACAGGCGTGGGGGTCCCTGCTCGAACGAGTCCAAATTGCATGCTGCGACGCAGCAGGCCTTGGGCGACGAGACTGTAACTTTCGAATTCTCGGACGGTTCCATGCTCCCTTTTTGCCTGATGTGCAGATGTCATTCCTCAAATGCTTCAGTCGGAAGCCGCTCCTCGGATTGTTGTGCGCCGCCGTCACGTGATGCTCGGTATGGCTGGCTTGCCCGCTGCAAGGGCAGACATCCCAAGTATTACAAGCATATTCTCAACGTGACAGTGAAGCTGGACAATTGTATGGCCTGGTTTGACACCAGCGTATCTGCTAATCCTGTACCGCCGCTGGACTCTGAAGATGGAGACTTGCAACAGACGGGGTCTGCTGAGCTTGAGAGAGTCGCGGCACAGCTCTGATCCAACGCGGGGGGAGATCGGGGGAGTGTCGAATAAGGCCTTGCTGGCGACTCAGATTAACCTCACTTGAAGCTTATCATATCTAGGTTGCTATTCAAAACTGGCAGGTCCCACACTGCCAGCTAGGTGCACTTTGCGGTGGGCCCAATCGAGGTCAACAACACCTCCTTACTTCTGCTCTCCGCATCAATCGACCATTTTCGGTCCACCCTGCACACGCTTTGTGGCCACATAGGGAGCTCCAACTAAGGCCCCAATGGGGAGGTACAACTGCGTCTCCCCGTCCCATTTCGGTGCGTCCCTCACACGATCCGTGCCTCCATAGGGATCTCCACCGAAGGCCCCCTTGGGAGGGTCCACATGCGTCCCCCCGACCCATTTCGGCGCACTTCGCACACGCTTCGTGGCCCCATAAGGGGGCCCCACAAGAGCCCCAGTGGGAAGGTCCAAATGCGTCTCCCTGCCCCATGTCGGTACCCCTCACACGTTTCATCCCTTCAGAGAGAGCTCCACCGAAGGCCCCCGTGGGATGGTCCACATGCATCTCCACGCCCCATTGCGGTGCACCCCTCACACGTTTCGTGGCTCCATTGGGAGATCTAGGGAGCTCCACCGAAGGCACCAGTGGAACAATCCACATGCGTCTCTCCGCCCGATATCGGCACGCCTCTGACACGTTTCGTGCCCTCATAGGGAGCTCCACCGAAGGCCCCAGTGGGAATGTCCTCATGAGTCCCCCCGCCTCATGCCTCACCCTTCACACGTTTCGAAGGCCCCAGTGGAAGGGTCCATATGTGTCTCCCCACCCCATTTCGGTGCAGCTCCACCGGAGGCCCCAGTGGGAGGGTCCACATGTGTCTCCCCACCCCATTTCGGTGCAGCTCCACCGGAGGCCCCAGTGGGAGGGCCCACATGCGTCTCGCTGCCCCGCGTCAGCACACAAATCACACGTGTTTTCCCTCATAGGGAGCTCCACCGAATGCCCCATTAGGAGGGTCCACATGCGTCACCGCGCCCCATTTCGCTACACACCTCCCACGTTTCGTGCCCCCACAAGGAGCTCCACCGACAGCCCCAGTGGGAGGGTCCACGTGCGTCTCACCGCCCAACTGCGGCGCGCCGCTCACACGTTTCGTGGCCCCACAGGGAGCTCCTCCAAATGCCCCAGTGCGGGGGTCGATATGCGCCAACCCGACACATTGCGGCGCACCCGTCACACGTTTCGTGGCCCCATAAGGAGCTCCACCGAGGGCGACTCTCACAAGTGAACTACTCACGAATGAATCTGATTGGGCCCTTCGCCAAGATCATTTGTTGACGGCCACGAAGACCGAAACTTGCCTCCAGACGCCGCAGCCCACAAGAGAACCCTCCGGTCCGCTGTTGCCCGACGCGCGAGACGTCCGGAAGTGAAAACCCCTCGGACGGCAGGAAGGCCGCCAGGCCATCCCGCCCTCTCGAAACGCAGCAGCACCCTTCGCCCTGCGCCCGGTCGGAAACCCATGCCTCCAACGCGTTAAACAATACTTTGAAGCGACGCTGTTTTTCGCCACGCTCGGCCCCAACGGGCCCCCGCAAGGGACCCGGCGCAGTCCGAAGACGTTCTGGGACAACTAGCCAGTCCCAGGGGAGGGGCCAAAGCCCCAGGTGCCCCGCATCCGGGAACTGGAAACATCGGAGGTCTGGGAGCCGCAAAAAAAGAGAGAACGCTGGCTGACATTCCCCACGCCTCGCGAATCGTCCGGGGGGGGGGGAAGAATCACCGCCGCTTCGTGGCCCTGAACTGTTCCTATCGTCCGACGCGCGTTGCCACCCACAACCGGTTCCGACGCGCGTTGCCACCCACAACCGGTTCAGATCGGTAACCAATGCCACCTGATCGTCGCACAGTCCTCGAAGACGAAGCTAAGTTACATCATTTCGCGCATCGCAACTCGCGATGCGCGACGCGCGGCTGCCTTCGCGCCCCCGCGCCGCCGCCCTGAAGAAGGGCGTGTCTCCAGCCCAGGCCGATGGCGCGAAGCGCGATCATCTGTGCGCCCCAGGGAGTCACGTAAATACCCAGACTCCTGACGTCCTGATTTTCTCGCGTATGCCCCTGGAGGTCTCAACCCATAGTCCGCTTCTCATACTGAGCCGTGTTTCGACCGTCCTGGGGCCCGGTGAGGGCCCCTGGAGGCTAAGAATGGGCAAACAAATCCGTCGAGATCTGTCCTTCACAACGAGAGGATGCCAGGGTAATTACGCCAACTTCTGAGGGCTGGCTGGGCCTCATTGGAAGGCCGAGCCCCGCCCCCGCATCACGGCCCTCCCCGGGGTCTTCTGAGCGGGGACCCTCCGGAAAACCAAAAGATATCGGCGATCGGCGCGGCCGAGAAAGCTGCAGCCGCGGGCCGAAGCATTCTCCATCCTTCGTGCTCTCCAGGTGGAACGTTTGAAGCCCTGGATAGCGAGATGTCCCAAATGTCTTAAACGAAACAAGAAAGGAATCAACATAATTTCTCGGAGGCCCGCGCGGGTTCCGTGGACGGCGGCGGACTCCCCCTCCATGGCGCGTGGATAGCGCCAGGGGCGGCGCTGGAGGCGCCGCCAAGGGGCTCCGCCGCCGATCCAAGAAATCCGCGCGGAGCTCCGAAAGAAAGATGTTCATACGGATCTTTGTTCTTGGATTAGAGAGCCCTACCCCTATAAATGATCCCGGGTCGAGGGTTCACATGCCCACCCCAACTGTGATGGGCCCAAGAGATCCACAAGCCCCCCCACCTCGCAAGGCTCACGGGCGTGTCCATCCAGCGGGGGGGAGGGAGGGAGGCTCGATCCCATCTGCATCGGGGCGAGGGCAGCCCTGGATCATATACCTCTCCCTTGCAGCGCGCCGCTGGTGGCCGAGGCGCATCATCTCCTCCTCGATCTGAGCAGTGAGGGTGTTCACCTGCGGCGGCCGGTCACGCTCGGGAATGCGCGCACGCGCGCGGCAGCGGGGTGGCCTGAAGAGGCCTCCAGACCCCGAACCCGCATGACCCTGAAAAGTTGTCCAAGCCTCCCCCGAAGACACAGAAAACTTCTCAGAAGGCGCGAAGGCGTCTGAGAAGCCTGGCCTCCTTCTGATAAGGCCTGCGTCTTCTATCTTCCCCCGCCGCCGGAAAGTCTGGCGCGATTCGCATGGCATCGCCAGATGCCCGGGGCCATGGGTCAAACCTGACCTGTTCAAGGACCCATTCTGGCCATGATGGCAAAGACTATCCAGCTGCGGCGACGAAAGCCTTCTGGAGGACCCCCCAAAAGGCACGAACGCCATGGCCGGTCATACCCGGAACGCACGCGCGCGCACGTGAACCTGCGTGGCGGCAGTGGCGCGGCCTCCTTGGTCTTCGCGCTCATCATTGCCTCGTAGGTCGACGCGGCGTTGCTCTCGGTCTTCTCGGCGTCGGCGAGCGCGGCGGCCATCTGCAGCATACTCGTATATTTTTAGATGTGCAACGCCTTGGAACAAACAATGCAAAATGTTTCGTCATGTTTTGCGCCTGGAGGCGTTCCCGGGCTCTGGGACCATCAATCACACCGTCTATGACGAAAGACCGACCCCCATGAAGGGGGCGAGGCAGTCGGGGCGCAGCATAGAAAAAGCACGACGTCAGAGGCATGGGGAGGAGGCCAAGATGCTGCTTTTGCTTGTTCTCCGATACAAAAGATGGCAATGAAGTGCGAAGGGGGTTTTCCACAATCGCCTATAGTTCGCCCCCGTGGTTGCAGACGGATGATGACCACCATGCACCATCGGTTGTTTTACTGAAGAGCTCAGTAGCTGCTTTAAGTCTCAAGATTTGATGACATAGCCCTTCGAAACAGCAGAAAACCTTAACACTGAACTAATTAATCGAATCTGGTTCAAGTGAGGACGAGGTGAGACAAAGATATCATGTGCCCTGACACCCAGCACGGTCACAGATGAGTACGAAGAGCATGTTAGGAGATGTAAGGGAAGCATGCAATCGAGATGGCAAGGGGGTACGGGAGATGTGGCAAGGGAGGTTTGAGCAGGTCTCCAGCAAAGGGCAGGCATACGATCGAAAAGCCCTTGACATCTCGCTTCAGCGCTCCCGCGCCGCCCCTGATGGAGAACGCCTCTCCATTCCAGGTCGCGGGGCGCGGATATCTTAAGACGAATGCAAGATGAGGACAACTTCGGATTGGGGAAACCAAAAGTTACCAATACCACTACTCACCAGACCTCTCCCTGGGAGCGTTCTGACAAGGACTTCGAATCCAGCGGTGGCGACGAAGGCCTCCCAGGAGGCCGAAAAACGGAAACCGGGCGAATGTTCGCGGTATGTGCCTCCTCTTACATATGAGAATAAGTCGGGAACCGTTGAGAATTGGCGGGTCTGCAGGATGTACCAAAAGTCGCGGCCGTTTCATCGCGATCCGGGACGCTCTGAGAGCGCTCCAGAAAACTGTAGAGCGAATTCTCATCATCCCAGGCCTGCCTGATGTCTTCCGACCCCTGCAGGTGACTGATGGGAGCCAGGGCCGCGGCAGAGATGGCAAGGAGATGTGAGGGACCTGAAGACTGTACACGTTTTGTGATATCGGGGCGAGAACAATGTCATGATGCGATTTGCTCAGGATACGTCCCAGGAGATCAAGAGTATCTAGCGGCCCTTCATTGCCCCTGGAGTCCGAGTGGAACAATAGGACATCCTGCAACTCTTGGAAAGGATCACATGCGGTCAACATCTACGCTAAAGTTGCGCGGTGAGGATGCACGTGGACGCCCCATGCAAAGCCTCTTGAACAGTGCAGCGCCATGAAACCCTGACAATGCAAGGCCCCCCCCTTGCTAACACTACCGATCCAAACTGCGGATCTCGACTGCCCACTGACATCTTGCCCCGCTGGGGAGCGCCGTCAACCTCGCGTGGACCAGGATGGTGCACCGCATTTCCCTTCTGACGGAAAGGCCTTGGCGTAAAAGAGAGAGTGGCCCTGAGGAGGAGGAGGAGGAGGAGGAGGGGGGAGGAGGGAGGAGGGGGGAGGGAGGAGGAGGAGGAGGAGGAGGAGGAGGAGGAGGAGGAGGAGGAGGAGGAGGATGGCAGAGACGGGTCCTGGACTCCGCCCGCTCCTCCCGAAGAACCCGCCCGTCATCCCGAGCAGCTCTTGACCATCCCCCGTCCGGGCCCGCGGACTGCCCCGAGAGGCCCGGAACGGCGGAGATCTTCGGGGCCCGTCGCCTTCTGTCGGCGGTGGACAGACCTCCCTTGAGTAAACCTCCCCTCAGTGGAAACGACCCAGGGCCGCGACCCGACGGACCTGGACCCGCGAAAATGACGGCCGCGACGCCCTCTCGCGAACCGAAAAGGGCCAATCCGAGGAGGGTCTGAGGACGAGGAGGAGGAGGGGGAGGAGGGGGAGGAGGAGGAGGGGGAGGAGGAGGAGGAGGAGGAGGAGGAGGAGGAGGAGGAGGAGGAGGAGGAGGGGGAGGAGGAGGAGGAGGAGGAGGAGGAGGAGGAGGAGGAGGTCTGTCCACCTCCGATTCTGGACCCCTCTCCTCCGTGGCGCGGCGAGGCCAGGAGGGACGGCTCGTCGGCCACGCGTGGCCGTTCCGCGGATTCCACAGAGGGGCGTGCGGCGTCCCAGTGAGGGATTGGCGCCGACGCATGACGAAGGATTGCAAAAAAACCGAAGGATTGCAAATTTACGAAGGTTTTCTTGCAATCCTTCGTGCAATCCTTCGGTCAAGACTCCTCAAGCATAGATTGGCGGTTTGGGCTCCTCGGTGCTTGCGTGGTGGGCGCTGCTTCAATGCTGGCAGGTGTCCGGTCCAGGCGCAGGGGTGTCCGAAATCCGGCGGTACCCTCACACCATTGAAGAGCACGTTTTCTGACAAGTGCCCGAACTATTCGGCGCCTCGATCTTCAACAGCGTTGCAATATATTTTTGACGAGACTTGTAGGGGGGAAGCGACGCTGGGGAGGGGGGGGCAAGGCCGAGGGATGCAGTGGCGAAGAGGGCCTCAGATCCGCCCCCGTGCCTCGACGGGCACGAAGTGGAGCGTCCTCAGGTCTTCAGGAACCCCCAATACTCAATGTTGCGTGTGGCACGGTAGGAAGAAACAATCAGTGAACACTCCCCCGCCCCCCCAAACTCAAAGTTGGCACGCGCGGGGAAGACTGAACGCAGCTCGTGCAACCCACCGCCAACATCGATCATGGGGGGGTCGTTGACAAATGAATGCGGCATGAGAGTTCGCCAATTTCTTCCGAGGCCTGCAAGTCCGCTGTGAAGGGGCCCAGACCCTCACTTGCCGGACTTCCAGGGCTGCCCGCGTGGCTTTTGGGCGTGAGTCGCCCAGCGGGGGGGGCGCCCACCACGGCTCAAGGGCGTAGGCGCCCAGGGCAAGCGAGCGGCAAGAGCGGCCACGACGGTCGCAAGAGGCGCCCAAGAGCGCTCAAAGACGCCCAAGACGGACTGATGGCGGCCCCGAAGGCTACCAAGACGCTCCGAAAGGCCACTAAGAGGTACCCCCCAGATGGCTGCAAAAGGCAAACATCACTCCCCAAGCACAACTTGCACTGAGGGGTTCTTTCTTCTCTTGGAAGGAATTGGGCCTGGTCGTCGGTCAGGTTGGCTTGTCGTGAAATGGTGCTGCCCGTCGCCGCCGGCCGCTTAGACCTGGCTAGTGGTCCGGCCTGTTTGTCGTCACCCGTCACCGCCGCCTGCTCGCACTGTTTTGCATTACTTTGCGTTTTTGTGTAGTGCTTCGCAGTGCTTTACATTGCGAATGTTTTGCGTTGCGTTGCGTTTCTTTTCGTTTATTTGCATTCCCCTACATTGACCTGAATTGCGTTACGTTGCGCTGCGCTGATTTGCAGTACCTTGCAGACACTGCACCACATATTTTATCCTCTCTGCAAAAAAATAGATGCCCCCTTCCCCCCGGATTCATAAGTCCACCTTTTCGTATTGCAATTTGAATATGATTCTGCACCCCCCCACCGCGATCCACTTCAAAAAAATATGCGCGCACGCTCGTTTATCACAAATCGTCGGTTTCCAAAAGCCCCTTGCAACAAACAAACAAAACTGGACGGAGTGTGCACGCGCGCGTCGTCGCGCGCGCATGCACGATGGAGTGTTCAAACAAACATGTACAAACATATTGTTTCGCAACACGGATGTTCAACAGAACAACGTGCGCGCGCGCTCTTACAAAATGCGGAAAAAAACACAGAATTGTTCAACCCCTTTTAAAGAAATACGACCAAACGGGATTCACAAGCGCATGCCGAAATCGTTCGGCCGCTGTTGCGCGCGTGCCGTCGCGAGAACCCTGTACAAAAAATGGAAGACAAAATGCGCACGCGGGCGTCGTCGCGCGCGTATGCCGACATCTTCCCAAAACCTTTGGTATGGCAGCGAATCCAAAAACGAATGTCCAAAACACATCCAAAAACACAAGGTTTCGCAACATCAATTTTCAAAAGAACTTGCGCGCGAATTCTTGCGATTTTTTTTGTGCGAAAACAAATGATTCTACAACAGCTTCATGGAATTCAGCCAAACGGGTCTCTGGCGCCGCATGCCGACATCATTCGCACGCCCTTGCGCGCGTGCTGGGGGGGGGGGGCACGATGCGCGCCCAATACAACAATGCGGGCCACTTTCGCACGTCGGCCGCGCGCGCATGTCAAACTCTTTCCGAAACCTCCATCACCGACGCGAGGACGCTGTCATTTTCGTCGGCGTAATCAGCATCGGCGCCCGTACTGGCCGAGCCTTCGTCGGTGCGAACATCGCCACCAACATCGCCACTATCATCATCGCGCCCGCCCAAAAAGCCAATTCGCAATGGGGTGCCCGCTGGGATGCGCCCAGCGGTCAGCGCCACCGCGGCCGCGTCGGTGGCGCCAAGCTTGCTCGCCGCTGCGCGTGCGTGCTAGGGTTGGCGCGGCCGCAATGATGTACCGGCCAACGCCAAGCATGTATCGCAATCGCCACCGCAGGGGTTTTGAAAGCCAAGTTGCGGGTGGGTGCGGGACGTTTGCAAGAACATGTGACGCGCCAACCCATGAGTAAACAATCAACTGCACGACATAGAATGCACCATGTGGTGCACGCCGAAAAGCCTACAACACATCGGTTGCGCAGCATGGGTGGCGCCACGTGCCTCATGGATAGCACCGCGTAGATTGTGCCATATGTGTATGTGTATATATATATATGTATGCACATATATACATATATATATAGGTAGCTGCTACATTCAGTGGGGAGCATGCTTGCTACCACACGCCGCTCGTCTAGGCGAAGCTTGAGACGCAACAGAAGCCCCGGCGACGGAGGCGAGAAAGGGGGGGGAGAAGGGCGGGAAATAACCGAATGAGGCTATGGAGTCGAAGGCCCCCCAAATTTACACGTTTCGTCTCTGCCATGACGCGCGATGTCATTCCCCTCGCAACCTTCCCGCGCGCGCACTGACAGGTTAACTGCTACATTCAGCGGGGGGAATTGTTGCTACTGCGCGCCGCTCGCCCAGGCTTGAGACGCGACAGCAGCCCAAGATCCCAAAGGGTTCACTGGGAAGGCGTGGCGGGCTATAAGACGAGCGCCGCCTCGAGGTCCCTGTGGCGGCTAAGCAAACAGTTCACCACGCAGTCAGCTAATTCTGCCGGGTGGGACGCGGCAGAGAAAGTCCACGCGGCCCCGGACGGGGCCCTGCCCTCGAGCACGACGCGCGGTCTTCCTGAGGCCGAGCAAATGCCGCCCAAACTGCGGAAACCCTTATCCAGCTTTAAAGTGTCCTGGGGATCTACACCAAAAAAGCAAAAGCATTGTGCGTCATCTCCAACGGACCCCGAACTGGCATTGATCACGAACCCTACTGTGCACGTCACGTTGTTCAGCCAAGCTTTGCATCTGCTGCGCGTGCCAAATTCTACTGCCGATGGGGTGCTCTAGCACCGAAAACGGGCGCCAGCTCGCACGAGGTATCTCATCAAGGTCAGGGCAGCTCGGAAAGTGGCGCTCACGGCGGCCATTCCCATTCTTCATATACTCTGCGGCGTCTGGGATACCCCACGGAAGCAAAACTGAGCGACCTGGCTGGCGGCCTCTGTCCGCCGCTGCGCCCCCCACGAGACGCGCGAAGGGGGCCGAGCGAGGCCGGCGATAACTTCTCCACGGGCAATAGCTTTTCGAACTCTGGCAATAACGATTGGACGCGCTAAATCTTCGTCGGGGCCGTTCTGACTGCCAAAGCCGCGGTAATTGACGCCCCGCATGAGGGGGGCTTGCCCGATCGAATCAGAACCCGAGAACAAATCTAAGATGCATCTGCGCCGGCGGCCGAGCCGCCTCACTGGGTAATCACCTCTGTACCTTTCCGAGCAGTATGTCCTCGAGCCGACTTTCGCAATCGCTTAGGGTGTCGCGCAGGGAGGCCGGCAGCAAGCTCCACGAATGCCCGAGACGGGCTGCCTTCTTGCACCTCTGCATCGACTTGGCGTGCTTCCACTGCCCCCGTTTCTGTATCTCCTCGAGAAATCTGCAGTGCCTGGTCACGTCTATACTAGGACCTGAGCGTCGAGCCTAGCACGGAACAACGTGCTGCCCGACATCCAGGTCCTGCAGCGGCATCCGAAACATCTTCAGGAACTGAAGGCAACTGAAGTCCCACACCCTTACCTCTGGAGCCGTTTGCCCGAGCTCGCGGAAGATGGGCGTGGCGCACTGAAAACAGCCGATGTCCAGCATCACTCCGACGTCGACCAGACCCGTCTTGCTGCGCAGCGGCTTGTTATCTGGGTAGAGGACCAGCGACCGCCAGCGGCGCGCTCCTGGCGCCGGCGCGATGATGTTGCCGCGCGTCAAAGAGAGCAGGCGGCTGGGTCGGAAATAGCCCGAGACCATGGCGAGCAGGAGGATGGCCATCTGCAGCGCCCCGCGCGCCACCATGCGCCAAGCCAGCCCGCGCCAGAGGGCCAGCGGCCAGGCTAGGCGGCCCCGCCCCGGCGCCAGCTTGCGCCAGCCCCGGAGGCAACGCCAGGCTCGCAGCGTCTTGGACTCGCCTTGCTTCGAGTACTCTGGGAACCTGTACATCAGGCCCGCCATTACCTGGTCGCCCTTCGACGAGTCGTGGCCACTGAAGAACGGCGCGTCCATGTGCTCCACGAGGGCGTCGTCCACCTGCGCGGGCGAACGCAGCGGGCGGCGCGGCTCCGCGTCGCAGAACTCCAAGAAGGAGTCCAGCTCCAGACCGCACCACCTCCGCGCGGGTGCAAACACGGACCTTCGCTCCAGGAGGATTATGGCCGCCCGCCGCTGCGTTGTCCTGCAGCGCCTCCGCTCCGCAGGTCCTCCTCCCCTTTGCAGCGCGCCTCAGCAGCTCCTTCTCGCGCCTGTCGCCGTCCTGCGCGGCCTGCTGCTCGTCGGAGGCGCTGCTGTCGCCGTCGCTGTCGGCCGCGATCTGGCGCTGCCAGTCCTGGGGGGGGGGCCGGCAGATCCGCGCCTCGCTCTGGGAGCCGATGCGTCGGCGGCAGCGCAGCCGAGCTCAGGCGAGCCTTCCAGTCCGGCGACCGCTGGGCCGCCGACAATGTCTTCTGGTGGCGCGGCGCTGGGGCCAGCCCTGCGCTCGTCGGAGCGGACCGCGGCAGCTGCGGGGGCCTCGCCCCGAGCGGCGCCTGCGCCGGCCGCTCCAGCTGGCGCCTCCGCTCGGTCGCGGGCCGGGGCGAGGGCGGAGGCTCTGCCCGTGCGAGCCCCCGCCGCCGCATGCGAAGCGGACCGAGGGTCAGAGAGCTCGGCCCTATCAAACGGTTGAGCCAAGATGGGGCACGAAGACGCCAGGCAGCAATCATAATACACAGGCGATAGCTCACTCGGTGAAAGGGGGCCGAGACCCGAGGGCATTGGCTCGATGCTCCGAGAGGTAAACAAGACTCAGGACTCGGTCACCGATTGAAAACGAAGGGAGCGCAAACCCTCGGGGAACCCTGTAAAAGAGACTCCGTTGAAGGTAGAGTATCAAGCAACTGTGAACCGAGGAACTCCTTGGCCCCTTTCTTGACCAAAATGATGGGTCCATAGTCGGCAGGATTCAATTCGGGGGGAACCCATGTGACAGACACGTTCACATTCCTCGCAAGACAATAGGCATGGAACCTGCGGATTTGGACCAAAACGGCACGCTCTGTTGCTCGACTCCTGTTAAAAGTTAGCACAACTGACCTGTTATCCGGCAGAATCAGTTGGCGGCAGGCGGCCCCGAACACTGACTCGGCGACTCGACGGGCGCCCATCGCCGGCGCTCCGGCATCATTGATGAGGATGCCCTCCTCGAGCCTCCAGCGCTGCACCTGCTTCGCGCGCCGGCGGCTGCTCGCGAGCCCCGCCGCGGGCACCTCTGGGCAGCCTGGGTCGGCCCCCCAAGCAGCGGCCAGCTCCGCGTCGTCGCCCATGTCTGCCAGCCGCCACTCGCCGCCAGCGGCCCAGCAGCGACCTCGCGGAAGCGGGCCCCCTCCCGCGCGCGGCCTGCCTCGACCACCACGCGACCTGCGGGGCCGACGGGTGGCGGGCGCCGCCCCCGCCTCCGAGCTGCTGTCCGTGGCCGCCGCCAGCTCGTCCCACTGCAGCGCCCAGTCGCTCTCCAGGAATATCAGCAAGCCTCGGAACACCTCCAGCTCCATGCGGGTCTCTGGCCAGAGCGTCGCAGGTGCGGAGTAGAACTTCCCCATGAAGGCGTAGACCGCGTGGAAGACGCCGAGGGCGCCGCGTGCCAGCAGTCCAGCGTAAGCGCAGTGGCCCACAAGGACCTCCACGGCCCAGCCCGTCAGACGACGTCTGCGAAGCAGCCCGCTGGTCGCCTGCCTGATCAGCCAGAAGCGCTTCTGAGCGACCCTGGTCTTCTAGCGGGGCCCCGAAACCTCGGCGCCTAGGGCATCGGCCTCCAGGCTCACGGAGCTGCCGTGGAGGAGCAAGCCCTGCTCGTCGAAGCCGCGGACGAGCTGCTGCACGGCGTCGGAGACCAAGGGCTCCGAGGTAGAGGCGACGCCAAAGTTGCCCGCGTAGACGTAGCGGGCCGCGTGGCCGGCAGGGCCCGCCGGGCCAAAGACGGGCGGCCTGCCTCGGTCAGCCAGAGGGCTCTGCGCCAGACGGCGGCAAATCTCCATCACCTTGCCCTCGTCGATGCGCTGCGCGGCCCGCGGGCTCCAGGTGAGGCCCATCGGGGAGACCCCCCGGCAGGGGCTCGCCAGGTCATGCCGCTCCAGCGGGCGGCCCTCCCAGAGCTGGCCCTCGACGCCCAGGGCGACGGCGGGGACCTCGGGGGGGCGGAAGTACTCGGCGAGCCAGTTCGGGAGTCGCAGACGGCGGAAGCAGCCCTTGACGTCCGCGAGCCAAGTAGAAGTTGCAGCCCTGCAGGAGCTGCTCCGCCTCTGGGCCCCGGGGGCCCACGCCCTCGGGCGAGGCGAACCCCGCTCGGCCGAGGCCCTCCTCGCTGAAGAGCTCCACGCCAGGCGGGGCCTCAAAGAGCTCGACAGCAGGCCGCGCGTCCAGGATCAGGCGCAGCCGCTCCCCGCCGTCCTTCTCCACGAGAAAGAGCCCCACCTGACGGCGGGGGCGGGGCGTCCACTTCAGCAGGCCACGGCGCCGCAGGTCAGCGACGACATGTCGATATGTCTCGGCGCTCCGCTTCAGCGCCGGGTCGAAGTACGGCGCCACAGTGGGTGTCGGGGTTCCGTCGCGCAGCATGCGCCCGGGGCGCTCCTTCAGGAATCGCTGGACCTCGGGGGGGGGGGGGGCGCGTCCTCAAACGGCGGGCATCCCTCCACTTTCTCGGGCAACGAAACGAGGTTGTCTGACGGGCGCGACGCGGGCTGGTCCTCCCGCCCCATCGCGCGGCGCATGCCCTCGCAGCAGCCGGCGGACGGCCGCGCGTTCACTGGGAGCGTCTGGGCCCGGGCACCGCCGCGAGGCCAGCTCGCAGATCCGCTCCAAAACTACAAGCTGCATCGGGTCGGGGTCGAAGTATGTCGGCCCCATCCGACAGCCCGCGAGCCGGTTCAGTGCGCCCGCCGCCTCGCTGCCCACCCCCAGCGCCAGCCGCTCGCGCCGCCAGAGGGCTCGACCCCGGATGGAGTCGTCGCTAGGCAGATTCGACAGGCGCCAGCGAGGCAGCGGGGACAGCTCCCTGGCGAAACGCGAGGCGGCAAGCCGGCCCCGCTCTACCCCTAAATCTCGGCCGGGGACGGCCCCCCCCTGGCCGCGGGGGCCGCCATGGCCCCTTGCCCGCGTAGAGCCGCGCGCGCCTCCTGACGGGCTTGGCGGGCTCAGAGCGCACCGCCACCAGGCCCGCCACGCGGCGCGCTGCCATCTCAAGACGCAGGAAGCCTCCCAGGTTCACCTGGTCGTACACGGCGGCCCAGTACGAGGATGTCACGCAACGCCTTCAGATCGTGGGCCACCTGTTCGCTCTCCCCCAGGCCCTTTGACCCCAGGAAGTCGCGGGGCCACAGCCTCGGGCCCCCATTCGCGCGCTCCATGTTCAGATTCTTGCAGACCGTCAAAACTGACGCGGGGCCCTCTATCGGCTGGTCGGGGAAGACCCTCTGGGTCGACTCGCGGCGCGCCGTCCTGAAGGACTGGAACCTCTCCCCCTGCGGGTCGAAATCCACCTCGAGGACGCGCAGGTCTCCTCCTGGCGAGGCGCGGTCGCGGGCGGTGTCCTGGTGCCCCCGACGCCGTTAGCGGCAGCCGCATCCCCGTCGGGCAGCGCCGAACGGCCCAGGCGCTCGCGGAGGTCTTTGGGGGGGTGGCATCTCGGGGCTCGGGGAGCCGCTCAGCCCCATCGCGCCGCGACGCCGCGCCGCGTAGCCCGGCAGGTCCTCCGCCAGCAGCGTCTCCACTCGGCGCAGGCCCTCACCGAATGCAAACAAAGCCATCAGCGCAGTCCCCAGCACGAAGCGCGCGTCGGAGCGATCCACCGCGGTGCCGACGGAGGCGCTCGCGGTCGGCTCGGCCGCGACCCAGATGCGGTCGTCCGCCAGCGGCGCGGGGGGCTGCTTGCCACGCAGCCGGTGCGCTCCAGGGCGCGGCTCGCGGCCGAAGAAGTCGGCCCAGGCCGGGAGTTCGCCGTCGGCTGTCGCCACCTCCAGCGGCTCCGCCGGAGCGATCCCAAGGAGACGTGCCTCGACCAGGGCGCGGCCGCGCTCGACGGCGGCCCGCAGCTCGGCACGCGTCACTGGCGCCCTGAAGCGATAGATCGGTCGCGGCCAGCCTGGCGGGGCGCTGCCGTCCGCCGGCATCAGCGCAGCTCCCTCGGGGCCCGAGGCTGGATCCGCCGCGCCCGCGAAGTCCTCCTCATATTCGTCGTCTGGCGTGCGGGCCGCCCACGTGCGGGGAAGCAGGCTCGAGAAGAAGAGGACCCGCTCGTGGTTGACGGGGTCGTCATTGTAGCAGACGACGAGTCGCTGCCCGGGCACCAAGCGCCTCCACCACTCCAGCCCCGCGTCGCGCGGGAGAAACGCCATCACTCACGGACGCGTGTGTCTCCGCAGCCCCGCGACATCCACCACGCCAGCGCCGAGCGCAGCGGCCCACCTCCAGCAGCAGCGCCACCAGCAAACCAGGGGCGCCCGCCACGAGGACGCCCACGGGGTCCTCCTCCGCCGCCGCCGCCGCGGGGTCCACCAAAGGGCAGACCGCGGGCGTCGCTGGGCAGGCGAGAGCCTCCGGGCACGGCGGGTAAGCCTCGCCCGTGCCCTCGGGCGGAAGCCACGCGGGCGGGCACACCGCCTCCAGCACGCAGGGCGGGATCCCCGATGGCGCGCCAGGAAGCTGGAAGGGCCGCGAGACCAGGTGGAACAATCCCATGGCGAGGACCGCCCAGGGTCCAAGAGGCCCCCGGGCCATCTCGAACCGAATAATGCCTATGGAGTCCAAGGCCCCCCCCGGTTTAAACTGTTCGCTTCTGCCATGACGCATCATGCCATTTCGTTCACAGCCTTCCCGCGCACGCACTGACATATTGCATTGCTTGTCCCACGTGTCTTACATAGCTTGCTCCACGTATCTTACACAACATTTTCAGCTTACCGTATTTCGTGCCGCACCGCAAACGCCGCATACTTTTCCACCACGTAAATTATACAAGTTGTGTTGCCCAACGCAGTTCAGACCACATACATTACCCTTTTGCTAAAGAATGTTTTACCCCCCCATGGGATTATCCCATCTCCTCTTCGTATTGCAATTCATGTATGAGCCTGCCCCATCGTCTGTCCTAAATCTGAGCCCGTGCAATCACAGCCGGGCCGGTACCGGCCCACCCCCGCCGTCCTCTGCAACAGAAGTGTGCGCACACTCGTTTATCAAAAACGAACCATTTGCATACATCCGTCGCAAACATTAGGACGAAATGCGCACGCGCGTCGTCGCGCGCGCATGCCGAAATTATCCAAAAACCGTTGGTTTCGCACGGACGTCCGAATCGGGTGTGCAAACATATAAAACATTTAAACACAAAAATCGCGACACGGGTTTTTACAACACTTACTTGCGCGCTCTTGCGACTTTTCATATGAAAACATGGATGTTTCAAACTTTCCATGATATGTTTCCAACAAGGTTTCGCGCGCGCGTGCATGTCGAACTCGTTCGAACGCCCTTGCGAACGTGCTGGGGTGGCACGACCCGTGTCAAAGATCACCATGCGGGCCACTCTCGCGCGTCTGCCGCGCGCGCATGTCGAATTCCGTCCCCATCGTCGTCGGCGTAATCAGCATCGGCGCCGTCACTGGCTGCCCCGTCGTCGCTGTCAGCATCGCCACCGACATCGTTACTATCATCATCGTGTCTACCGTTGTCAACGTTGCCATGATACCGCGCCCGCCCAAGTCGCCGATTCGCACTGAAGTGCCCGCTGGGATGTGCCGAGCGGTCAATGCCACCACCTTCACGTCGGTCGCGCCAAACTAGCTGGCCGCTGGGCGCGCAAGCATGCGCGGGGTAGGGCGGCCGCAGAGATGCACCAACCAACACCAACACCAAGCACTCATCGCAATCGTTTCCGCATGGGTTTTGGAGGCCGAGTTGCGGTTGGGTGGGTGGGATGATTGCGCGAATGCACTACGTATAATGCACCACATGTGATGCACCACATCGATTACACCGCACCAGTGTATACAGAGACACATCTTGAACCGCCTAAGTTGCACCACGTAGACTCAACCACTTATAGTGCACCACGTAGAATGCACCACCTATAGTGCACCGCACAGCTTACACCGCCAGACTGCATCACATAGCTTATACCGCAAATTGCACCGCATAGATCTCACCGTCGGAACCAAATACACTCTGGACCAGAGCGTGCCCAATATAAATCACACCACAGATATTGTCTACCGTCCATTGCACCACATGCACTGCACCATTTAAAGCGCAACCAATAGATTGCACCACATAGCTCACACCACATATATTGCACCGCCTAACTTGCACCACGTTGATTGAACCTTCTATACTGCACCGCATTGATTGCACCACGTAGCTCACGCCACATCGATTCAACCACCAAGGTTACACCAAAGGTTTGCACCACATCGACTGTCCAACATACCTTGCACTGAGTATGTTTCGGCGTTGCAGCTATTGCAACGTTCTCGCCTTTATGGGCATCCGAACGCACAAGACTGCCCGAGCAGCCCCAAGATCGACCCTAAGTGGCCCAAGAGGCATTCAAGAAGCCCCCCAAGACGGCCTAGGCGGGCCCAAAGACGGTCCAAGACGTGTCCCAAGAGGGCCCAAGGGGGGTCCAACAGGTAGAACCCGAATTGACAATTCGAACCTGTCCTTTTCTTCAAAGATGGCCCCCGAGACCACCAGCCCCCAAGAAGCCCTTATGACGCCCCAAAGAAACACTAGGGGCTCCCAACAGACCTCAAAGAGATCCCAAAGAGGCCCGCAAGAGCCTTTCACGAGGCCCGCGAAAGGCATCCCACTAAACCTTAAGATGCATCCAAGAGGCCTCCGACCCACAATCCAAGCACGGGAGCGGGATGAGCCGGAACCCAGCACTTGAATTTCTCTACCGCGGAGGCGTCTGTCCCGCGCCGGCCGATAATGTTAGGCCCAGGCGAGCCACCGCAAGGGACCCAGAAATCTAAACTGTCCAACCGCCTTGAGACAAGCGCCCCCGATGGCGGCCAATCTTATTTTGCACGGTTATTCGTCCGCTACTGGGGGACAAACTTAACTCCAATCGCACGTCTGGAAATCAACGGCAACAGAACATCCGCGGCTGACGCCCTGCATTGCATGGGTCCTGGTGCATTGTCTATCCTGTTCCCTTCTTCTCGAGATACTAAGCCCTGCCAAAACCAAGGCATCATGAAAACGTAGGTTGTACCTGTTGAGACAAACACGCAACAAACGCTCATGAGACAAATTCAAATAGAGATGCCGGTGAAGGAGAGGAGGCGATGGATGGGGAGAAGAGGGAAGGAGGATAAGGACGCACAAGGAATGACAAGCCATGGAACTGCGCTTGACGGAATAAAGATGACACGCTGGCGGAAGCGGCCTCGTCGCCCATCTGCTTGAGGATCCCTGTGAACATTGTTTGATATTTCTGAAAGGTTGTCCGCACATCTCTGCAACTCCTGCGCATCTGGACGGCGGTGCACGGACCATGCTGCGGAAGCTCTGGTCAACCATATCGGACGAGTAAAGGTTTGGCTGAGAAAGAATGTGTTTTGAGAGAACCCTTCCCAATCCCGCTAAGTCCCTACCTCGTCCCTGCTCACGCCTCAAAACCTGCGGTTCGGGGCGGTCACCTTCACGTGGTCATTATCGCGGCTATTACACCACGTCGATAAGACAAATGCTGAAGGCATGATTAGGAGATGCACGTTCCCGTACCGTTTCAACCGCTCGTGCTCTTGAGTCCCACGGACACTTGCACAAACGCATTGCGACATTCGCGGGGAAGAGGATGAGGATTTGCGCTTGGTCCGAAAGGGTGTGCTTGCAAATGGACCAATGCGTCTCTGGAGCCATCGCACACTGTACTACATACACTGACGAAACATGTGATGTGCCTGATTTCCTGACGTGCTACGATTGTCAGCCAGATCGGCGACCCCAGAACCACTTCACTGACTACTGGTCAAATCAACGATGTTTGTAGAGCGTGGCGATATCTGGTTCCCGACTGTTTAGCGGCCGCTCATCGCCAGGCTGTGTAAGGCTGGGAACTGCACTGGAATCCGAAACACATGTTAGGGTACACCGACTTCATCCAACACCCTCAATCACCATCATCATCAGCATCATCAGCATCATCATCATCAGCATCAGCATCATCAGCATCAGCATCATCATCCATCTCATTCTCCTCCTGCTCGTCTTCTCGCTCCCCTTTTTTCTGACACGTCACGCCCCATGCGTTCCAACCCTTTTCTTTGCACGTAGCACATATAGCATCCTGGTCGCACAGCCAAGCGCGTCTCTTAGGGCGGGCTTGGCGTTACGCCTGATCCGCACTCACAATTCATGATGATGGCGCTTGGTGCTTCCTCTACGGATGGACGGCGGGCCATTCTCAACAGGTAGTTCTCGCCATTGCGCCGCGCAGCGGACAATCGTCTTAAGCAGTTCCAGCAATTGCAGGGGCAGACGGCGGGTGGTGTTCAAAAGGTTGCTCTCGTCTTGGCGCCGTACACATTCGTCTGGAAACATCGATTGCATGCATGGGTGTCGGATTGTCATCAAAATGTGGCTCTCGCCTTCGCGCGGGGCACATGTGTCATAAAAGCATCGAGCAGCATGGAGGGCGCTTCGCTTTCAGCATGTAGCTCTCGCCCCAGCGCCTCGCACATCCAGCTGTAACGTTCGAGCATATACAAGGTTGGAGGGCGGATCCGTTGATATCTCTGCGGATTTACTGCGCAAGCGTTACAATATTGATTTCTCACCAGGCTGTAACAAGTGCGCAACAGCTTCACGGATGGTGGGCTGTTATTTTGATAAATAGACTCTCCCCTCTCGCTGGGCAGTCCCTTGAACTTTCTAGCTCTATCCCGTGCAACTCCTTGCAGCCAGACAGATTAGGGGCTGCTACTTTTCAAAACAGGGCTCTCGCTTGAATGCCCCCCCAATGGGATCTCGTCTTTGAAGGGGGGTATGGGTTCCCCATAACGAAAATTAATGCCTGTCAGTAGGGACTTCTGATGTGAGAAGTTTGACGAAAGGGCGCATTGCTGCGCCACCGGTGCACCCTCTCAGGACCCCAAGGCCCAGTCCTCCTCTTCCCCCTATCCTCATCATGCCCCTCGTCTTCGTTCTCGTCCTTGCCGCCGTCGTAGTCGTCGTCGCCGCCGCCGCCCTGCTCCTCCTCAGAGCCGTTCAGAGTAAGTGCAGCGCCACCACCAGCACCCGAAACACCGCCGTGCCTCCCTGCCCGGCCAGCGGGCCCTCCTGGGCCGGCGATGCACACGCCTCCCTGCCGAGGACGGGAAAGCACGTCCCAACTCCTGGGGCCCAGCAGGGCCCCCGGCCAGGTATGCTCCGGACCCGACCCCTCTCCCAAAGGCCGGCTTCTCATGCAGGGGCCCAGGGACACACAAACAAATAGACACACAAAACCCAAGAGTCCCCTTATTTTTCCATATTTTCTGACGTTATGTCGTCCCCCCCACTCCGCATATTTTTCATATTTTCCTGGGACTCGCCGATTCATTTTGCGTGTTTTTGCTCCTCCCGATCTCATCCCGAGCCGATGCTGGACGGACCGCGGGGCCCGCCGAAGGGGGCACACCAGAGGCCGAAGATGGCGATACACCGTCGTCCCCGCGATCCGTCGACACGAGAACATTCACCATTGTCACAATCGTACTCGTAATCGTCGTCGATTTCGGCCTCATCCTCCTCCATCTCATCATCATCACCACCACCACCACCACCATCATCATCATCATCATCATCATCATCATCATCATCATCATCATCATCATCATAATCATCATCATCATCATCATCAGCATCAGCATCAGCATCAGCATCATCATCATCATCATCATCATCATCATCTTAATCAGCATCCTGATCCTCATCCTCATCCCCATCCCCATCCCCATCCTCATCCTCATCCTCATCCTCATCCTCATCCTCATCAGCACAAGCACCAACACCAGCACCAGCACCATCATCATCATCATCATCAGCGTCATCAGCGTCATCAGCATCATCATCATCATCAACATCATCGTCATCGTCATCATCATCATCATCATCATCATCGTCATCATCATCATCGTCACCACCATCATCAGCAACATCATCATCAGCATCAGCAACAACATCCTCCTCATCCTCATCATCATCATCCTTCTCCTCATCATCATCCTCCTCCTCATCATCATCATCATCCAGCGCTCCACCCAAGGCAGAGATCTGTTTTGTGTTCGCAGGCCGAGCAGACTGCACACGACGACGGACTGGCTCGTGCCAGAGAGCAGCCGGCAGTGGAGGAGGGGAAGGAACAGGAAGGGGGACACCACCACCGACCAGGAGCGGAGGGGAAGGAAGGGAAGGGAGGGCGGGCGCGAGAAAAAGGCTATGGAGCAGATGCAAATGTGAAAGCCTGTGGGCGAAAGCATCTGGCGGCTCTCATTACGCTTCAGGATTAAAGTTCGGAGAACGACCATCCAGCGCTCCACCCAAGCCAGAGATCTGCTTTGTGTTCGCAGGCCAGGCAGACTGCACACGACGACGGACCGGCTCGTGCCAAAGAGCAGCCGGCAGTGGAGGAGGGGAAGGAGCAGGAAGGGGGACACCACCACCGACCAGGAGCGGAGGGGAAGGAAGGGACCCACGTCCCAGGAAGGCTTCTGGCCAGAATGGCCGTCAAAACTGCTAGAACATTATATGTTGCTGCATGCGTGCTAGATGTAGTCCTTGAACACAGTTCATGATAGCAACGGCGAAAGTCGAGGCCATCCGACGAGGGTAACTTTGGGCAACCTGGGTCCAGAGCTTGCCCGAGGCAGGGCCACGACCCGTGGGGACGATGCGATGCTTGCCCGAATTAACACAACGGCCACCACGGGAATTGCACAAACTGGGCAGCGTGTTTTTTAAAACCGCTACCCCAGGCCTGGACCCGAGTACGTTTTCGCCAACGGGTCCCAAATCCACAAAAGTCAAACACGAGGCTCTGAGATGAAGGAAGAGAGGAGAGTCTGACGAGAGGGGGACCGGACGAAACGTAGGAAGAGGCGGGGTTCTCGAGGAAAGCGGGAATCCCCTGGCGAACGCAAGCCCGAATGACTGTTAAAGAAAAGAGCAGCTGGCTATTTCCTCGGGCGACCGCAGCAACGGCACGGCCTTCTAACCCTGGAAGACCCCAGATTGCCGTAGGCGAGCGGATCCTGCACCAGCTGCTGTCTGGAGGGCCATGCCGAGCCTGCGACCAGCTGTTGCATGGGGTTCCGAGTCAGACGGCCAGGACCACTCCCGATGAGACCCAGCCGAGGAAGGTGCGCCGGATGACCGGGCGATCCAAATCGAACCAAGGCCTCGAAACGAAATCAGCCGCAATCACTCCGCAACCCAAATGTTTCACCCCTCGGTTGAGTCCCTCAGTTCCCGCAAAGAGCTCAAGACAAATATGTTTACGATTGCGATTGGCTGCGGCCATCGCCGCGCGGAGCAACAAGCGCTGGCGGGCTGCGACGAGGCGGTCGCTCAGCAGCGCTGCGCCCGGGCCGCTGGCGGGGCCTGCGCAAGAGCGGGAGGCGCCAGAGGCCTGGCCGTTCCGGCGAACATGTCGCCGAGCAGCGCCGACGTAGTCCACCACCTGCGAGGGAGCTCGGGCGAGCTCCGAGATCACGCGCGTCTGCTTCGCGCAGCGCCTCAGCGTTGAGTCCGGCACCCAGCGGCCCCAGAGCTTCACCTCCAGCGGCGTGCGGAGGCGGTGGAGGAGATCGTGGGACGCAGCTCCGCGGCGGAACCCGCGCGCCGTGATCCCCCGGTCCGTCAGCTGGAGCTCGGCTGTCGCCTCCGCCAGTCGCGCTGACAGGTCGCCCTGAGGGAACAGCCAGACGCGGCCCGTCGGCGTCCGAGCGCGAGACTTCAAGACCTGGAGGCAGGGGCGCAGGAACGTCAGCGAGTCCAGGAGCACGGCGTCGTCCCAAGTGTTCGCCTTGCTTGGGGCCCCCATCTCCACGGGCGCGAGCAGCAGGCCCCAGACGTCGGCGGCCCCCCAGGCCGCCTCGACGGGGGTGACCAGCTGGAGCGACGCGAGAGAGTCGCACTCGCCGGGCCGAAGGGGCGCCACGAACGAGATGAGGGCCGCCACCGCATGCCCCACCAAGCCCCGGTGGAAGGGAACTCCCACGATCGCGGCAAGCAAGACCCAAGGCGAGGGCATGCGGCTCTTCCTGGGCGCCACCTTTTGGCTTCGCCACGGGCTATGAAGGGACGCGTGGATATTTTTTTCCTTTTCGAATTTCATTTTAGTGGTCTCGTTCCGAACAACGACAGATCTTATTGAACTGATCTGCTCAACAAAAAACAAACGCGCACAAAATCCACTGCGGATGCCCTCA